AATGTATAACTGGAGTGAGTGAGTCAGGCAATGAGACTTTTTTTTGTCTTTTTGAGACAGGGTCTCGCTATGCAGGTCAGGCTGACCTTGAGCTCACTTTGTAGCCCAGGCTGGTCTCAAACCTGCAAGGATCCTCCCAAGTGCTGGGATCATAGGTTCGTGCCACCATGCCCGGCCTAATGAGGGATTTGTTTTTTTTTTTTTTTGGTACCGAGAATCGAACTCATGACCTCAGGCTTGCCAGGCAAGCACTTAGGCCACTGAGCTATATCCCCAGGCCCCTAATGAGGCATTTTAAATGTGACATCAAAATTGAAAAAGATAAGACCTAAACTGGATGTGGTGGCACTTGCCTATAATCCCAGCACTTGGGAGGCTGAGGCAAGCAGATTGCTGTGAGTTCAAGGTCAGTCTGGACTACACAACAAGTTCAAGGTCAGTCTGGACTACACAGCAAGACCCTGTCTCAAAAAAAAAAAAAAAAAAAGCCGGACGTGTGTCTGTGATCCCAGCACTCGGAAGGATCATTATGAGTTTGAGAACAGCCTGGGCTACAAAGTGAGTTCAAGGCCTGCCTGAACTGCATAGTGAGACCCTGTCTCAAAAGAAAGAAAGAAAGAATGAGGTGGGGAGGGAAGAGTAGGGGAGGGAGGGAAAAAAGAGAAAGAATGAAGGGAAGGAAAAGAAGGAAGGAAGGAAGGCAGACAGACAGAAAGAAAGAAAAGGACCTGCATTGGAAACATGGCTGTTATCATTTATATCTAGATGCGCCCCCCCATGTGCTCATAGGTGGGGTTTTGGGAGGTAAGTAGATCATGGGTGTGTGATACACGTAAGGAGATTAATCCATTGATGGTTTGGGGAAAAATGTGATGTTGGGAGGTAAAGACTGGTACGAGGAGGTGGTCCACTGGGTGCATGGCCTGGAAGTTTCTCTCTCTCCCTCCTCCCCATCTCTTTCTGCTGTGCCATAAGCACCCCTCCTCCATGGCCCTCTGCCCTGCTTCCCTGCTTTAGAGCCAGCAAGTATGGACAGAAACCTCTACAAATCATGCATCAAAGCAAACCTTTCCTCCTTTATATTGTGGGTACTGCATCTCACCAATGAGAAAATAACTAAGACAATGGTAAAGGCATGTTTATTTTATATCAGCAAATAGACCTCAGTTCTGAGTTTAAACAAGAGTGTATCAAGCCGGGCGTGGTGGCGCACCCCTGTAATCCCAGCACTTGGAAGGCTGAGGCACAAGGATCGTGGCAAGTTTGAGACCACCCTGGGCTACAAAGTGAGCTCAAGGCCAGCCTGAACTGCCCAGCGAGACCCTGTCTCAAAAAGACAAAAGATAAAAAAAAAAAAAAAAAAAAAAAAAAGAGCGGATCAGATACCAGATACAGTACATAATTTTTTGGTTGTTTTTTTTGGTAGTGCTGGGGATCTAACAGGGCTTTTCAACATGCTAGGCAAGTGCTCTCTGTGAGTTATGTACCTTTAGTTATACCTAAAATATCTAAAATGTCCTCCAAAAGCCTTCTTGCGTTCAGAGGTGGGGATTTTGGAAGGTGACTGAATCATGGAGCACCACCCTTATCAGTGGGTTAATCCACTGATGAGCCGATAGCTGAACAGCTGTTAAGGAAGCAGGGCCCGGCAGGAAGAGGTGGGTCCCGGGAAGCATGACCTGGAAGAGTATATTCTTGTCCCTGGCTCTGCTCCTCTCTCTTTCTGCTTTCCGGCCACCAGGAGGGAGCTTCTTTCCTCTGCCGTACCCTTCTACCATTGTGTTTGTACCTTGGAGCCTACCCATCACAGACTCAACCTACTGAACTATGAGCCAAGGTAAACCTCTCCTTTAAATTTTGGGTGTCAGGTTATCTATCTATCTATCTATCTATGTGGTTGAGACAGGGTATTGCTATGTGGTTCAGGCTGGTCTTGAACTTACTGTATAACCTCACAATCCTGCCTCAGCCTCCTGAGAACTGGGATTACAAATGTGTGCCAAAATACCTAAGTGGATGTCAGATATTTTTATTTCCAGTGACAGGAAAGCTGACTAATACCCGGTCCCAATAAAAAAAAAAAAACATTTTTTTGGAGACAATGTTTCTCCATATAGTTTAGGCTGGCCTTTAACTCAGTGATCCTCCTGCCTCAGCCTCCCTAGTGCTGGGATTACAGGCATGTGCCACCACGCCTGGCCTGAGGTGAAATTCACATAACATAAAATTAGCCATTGTAGACTAAGGATATAGCTCACTGTTTCAGCATGGGCCTAGCATTTGTTAGGCCCTGGGTTTCAACTCCAGGACTGAAACAAAAACAAATTTAAAAACCCAAACTAAGCAAAACAAAACCAAAAACACAAAACCTGGGACCTCAAAGTACTTTGTCAGTGAGCTACATTCCCAGCCCCCAAAATTATTTTTTTCCTCAGTGGAGACATGATCTTGTAGTCCAGCCTGGACTTAAACTCATGATCCTCTTCCTCAGCCTCCCAGTGCTGCAATTACAGGGTTTCATCATCGTGCTAGATTAGAACTAGTCCTTTTTGAATCTGAACATTCTCCAAAGTTATTTCTGCTCGCTAGTGTCTAACTCAACTCCAGTACCCTCCTCATTCACAGGACGGGCCTTTCAGAACACAGTTTTCCTGTTTTACAGATTAGGAACCAAAGGCACAGAAGGATGACATGACCCCACCCAGGTGCAGTTCCAACCCTAGCGTCATGCCATGTTATCCTGCCTGGTATACCTGAGTGCACATGACCTGAAATGAGGTCCACGTGGCAGACGGGACTCCTTGGCCAAGAATTCCATGCAGTCTACTTGAATGTAAAACCCCTGAATCCTGTGCTCCTCCCTGGGTGTTTGTGATGCTCTCAGTGTCTCTTTCCAGGCAGGCAGCCAGTGTGCCAGGCACACAAGCTCTCACTGCTTCCCTTTTGGTACCTTCTCATTACTTTTAATTGCATCTGAGACTCTCTGGCATCTTGTATTTTGCTTCCTAATCCAGGGCTTTTCTTCATCTCCCACTGGCCCAGTGAACACTTCCCTCTCTCAAAGCCTTTTTTTCCCTTGTTTTGTGGAGCTGGGGATCGAACCCAGGGCCTTGTGCAGGTAAGGCAAGAGCTCTACCACTGAGCCACACCCCCAGCCCTCTCAGAGCTCTCTAGAGAAGCACCCGAAAATGGAGCAGGTCTCCTGGAAGTGTTAGTCTCTATAATGAACAGTATAATATCTCCATGTAGGCATATTTACATAGCAATCTGCACACAGAAGCAACATTACAAAGGAAAGATTTTTAAAAAAGAATTCCATCTCAAAGCTCCATTTCCTATACAGTAGTAGTAAGAACACTACTGGAATTACCCTGACAGGAAGACAAAACAACTTCGAGGGATGCTGGGTTAGAGACAATAGCTTCGTCAGGACCATTAATGTTTAAAATCAATGGAGCATAAAACTGCTTTTTTCTACTTACAGCCAGGCATCATCTTATAGAGAGGAGAAGAAAAAATACCATTTTAACTCTACTGAAATCCATAAACCCTCTCCTAATTTTCATTCCCCTTGAAATTTTCCAGTAAGTACCATCGGAATGAAAATGAGCCGCACGCTCTCTGGGGGAAATGGCTTCCAATCTTCATCTGTAAAGTGTGTAAAGAGCCCTCCATAGAGATGGAGGAGGGAGCTGCCTGCTGGGAGAGGTTCCATCACCCAAACCTGCAGAACTAGTTGTGGCCATGGACCAGGAAGCCCCTGGGCTGCCCTCTGGAAGGCCTAAACGATGCCAGGTCAGAGTGACAGAGGCGGAATTCAAGGGCCCAGGACAGGGCAAGGAAGTAAGTGCTTTAGGGTATCCACGGCATGGTAGGCTACAGCGGGGGGACCTTCATCATTATCTTATTTGCTGTAGGGGGAGGCATCACTGGAAGCCAGCCAAGCCTCTGTTAGTAAACCACTGGACCTAATCCCACAGGACATTTGTGTAATGCCTGAGAAGGCTGTTCCCATCATCTCATCTGATCCTGAAAACAATCCTCAGGGGCAGGCAGGGCTGGGATTATTTTCTCCATTTAACAAGGAAAACACTTGTAAAGTGATTTGCCAGGAGTCCCACACCCAGCATGCAGCAGGAAGAAAACTTGAATCTAGGTTTTGTGCAACCTGCTCAGGGTTCTCTTGACTCTGGACAATCAAAATATTCCCAGCCCCACCCAGTCCTCACAACCACTAGTTTAACCAGCAACTGGGAACATCTGTGTACACTTCCCACACACCTCTGTCCTAGGGAAGAAACATAGCAAGCTCTCTGAAAAAAAATGTTTTCAAAATTTCATCTCATCTCCTTGCCGAAGACCAAAATTAATCCCAGATGGATTTAAAAAAAAAAAAAATTTAAGGCATTAGAAAAAAAAACTAAAGAAAATAAAACTGAATATTTAATAACTTTCTGGAGGCAATGAGACTAAATTTAGCATACTTTAGAAGTCTCAAAAGGATTTTATAGATTTAATTGCATTAAAATTTGTTAAGTTTTACTGGGGGGAAAAGCCAGGTGTTGGTGGCCCATGCCTGTAAGTCTATCACTAGGGAAGCTGAGGCAGGAGAATCCTGAGCTTAAGGCCAGACTAGACTACATCATAAGACTGTCTCAAAACAAAGCAACAAGAAAGTGTACAAAACCCCACATTTTTTCGTAGTAAAACATGCACAATTTACTAAGAATAAGGTAAAGCCAGTTAAGAAACATTTAAAAAACTTGAAAAGAAAAAATATGCAAGGCTGGGCGTGGGGGCGCACGCCTGTAATCCCAGCACTCAGGTGGCTGAGGCAGGAGGATCATTTCAAGTTTGAGACCAGCCTGGGCTACGAAGTGAGCTCAAGGTCAGCTTGAACTGCATAGCGAGACTCTGTCTCAGAAAGACAAAAAAAAAAAGACAAAATAAATAATTTTTTTTAAAAATATGCAAACTGAAAGATACAATTACACCTACGAAATTAGCAATAAGTTTTTCTTCAGTAATACTCAAATTCTAGTGATGCAATGAATGTCTGCTCACACATTAATAAGAATACCGTTACCTAATTCTTGCAAAGTAATTTCATATATTTATCAAAAACCTGAAAATATCTATATCCTTTGACCTACACATTGCACTCCTGTGACTACGTCTAAGGAAAGAATCATAACTATGGAAAATTTTATGGACAAAAATGTGAGTCACACTTACTTACAAATGGTAAAATTAGGCAAACAGTAGTGTTAAAGGAATTTAAACAATTACAAGGACTTAGTGGAAATTTACATAATCATGGAAAATGTTTTCAAAGTGCTTGCAGCAACACGAAAGGCGCTGATGGTGTAATGCAAAGTAAAAAGTGTAACACTGCATGCATGGCTGTTTATACACTTTTATAGAAAAAAAGGCTGGAGGAAAAATCCAAGGAAAAAGTATTTTAACCTGATTAAATCCTACGATTATGAGAAAAATTTCCAAAACCGTGTATTGAATTAAAAAATACCCAACTCTTGAGCCAGGCTGTGGTGATTCTTTTTCTTTCCTTGGGCCTGGGGGTTTAAGGCTGCGGAAGAGGGAAAGCTCAGAGACCCCAACTCCTCGGCCTTCTTAAAAGCGTCCGGGTTCCGGGCAATTCCCCGCCTTTCCCTGGCCCCATCCCTAAGGCCCGGCTGGCAGGGGCCCATCCCCCAGCAGGGCCGGAGCCTGCGGCCGCTCACCGACAACAGGCGCGGCAGACACGTGGGGAGGTAGCCGGCGCCCGCGGGGAGGGGTTGGAAGGTATGGGTAGGTGTGTCCGGGCATGGGAGGAACCAATGCTGGCCTTCACCAGGGGTAAATCTTCTCGTACTGCTTGTGGGTCGAGGTCCGGGGGAAAGCTGTACCCACGCCCTGATTCCCATGGTGGACAAACGATGAACACACATCCTCGAAAGCAGCGGCTGCGATCCTGCGCTGTCCGCGACGCCTGGCCCCAGAGTCACCTCGCGCGTCCCTCCCGGCTCGGCGCGGTGGAACGGCCCGCGCGACGTCACCCATTGTTTACAAATCAACCCGAGCCGGCAGGATTCCGGCTCCCCGGCTGCAGGCGGCGCGCACCGCGAGTACTCGCCACGCCGGCTCCCGCGTCCCTGGCGCCGGCCCCGGCCTCGACCCGC